ACACAAGTGGGCTTCAATCAAACTGGTTATCAATTAGCAAAAAACCTAGACCTTGTTCGAGAAATGAATGTAATGAATGTACCCTTATGCTCTCTTAAATACGGTGACTTCTGTGTATATCTTGAACTTGACGAAAAAACTGATAAGAGTGAGATACCCAGTGCCCAGATCATAGCCAAGGCTTATGAAACCATTGAGAGAAGATATTCCAGTAACTTCTAGACCCATTATAAAGACATCAGGACTTTTGGAAGCAGAAGAGATGAAAAATTAGCAACGCCTTCGCCGGGAATCGAGCCACGGACCTCTGAAACACCGGCTCAGTGTGCTGACCACTACACCACGAAGGCACGCTAGGAAGGCGGGAGAAATACCTTACACCATGTTTACATCTACGGATGGATGATTAAGTGAAGTACTGGAGCTGGTGCAGGAATCAATAGCAAACATTTTGCATTCAATAAGGCAGTGGGGAAGAGATACTACCAATTTTGATGGTGAAGTTGAGAAGTTTATTGATCTGAATCAATTAAGCGCTCGGAAGAGTAATTTCCCTCGGGCTGTAATTTTGTTCGATATCAAAACGCTTTGCAGGCTATCTCCAACAATAAATTTTGCACCGAACACATTTACGAATATAGGAAGTTTCTCAACTATCTGGCTGACTCAATTGTCTTGCAATGGATTCCTGCTGATTGTGTCATCGAAGGAAATGAAGGAGAAGTTTTTTTGGCAAAGAAAGGAACGACTAATTCTACAAACCACTAATAACCATATCACCTTTAATTCTGCAAAACTCCTCATTAAATTAGAATTTAAGAGGATATTTGCCTCTTACCTATCAAATAAAGCTAAGGCCTAGAGTGTCTCACTAGTTCAAAGCCAGTTATTCTAGGTTTTCCTCGTCCTGTAGCCGTGGCGTTATTTCGCCTTTTGAAGGGGCACGGTTGTCTGAATGCTCCCCCTTTTTAAAATTCCATGTAAGGACTCTTTACTCTGTACTCTTTTAACTCTGGATAGACCATGGATAAGGAGCATATTGACGAATGCATGGCATTATTATCTTTTAATTCTATTGTTCTTAAATATTGGGAAGCAAGATCAAGACTAATGCTTAGCGGCCGAATGTCTGGCATTTGTTTAAATAAATTAAATAAAAAATATACATATTTAACTTAACAAGATCTCCAATACTTGTTCTGTATCTTTATCTAGAAGTTCGTGTAATTCATCGCTCTCAAATTCTTTCAGTCTTCTGGAACAGGGCAATTGTTAACGTCCATTTCGTTCCTTCTCACAGATATCGGAGGATACATGCGCTTTCTGCGTTCAGAGAGGGTTCCTTCCGTTTCCATAGCACTGTCCCCCCCGGCAAAACGCACATACATAAAACGTACAGACACAGACAAAAAAGGGGAAGTGGAAAGAAAATCAGTTACGCAGTGACATAAATGCATTTAATTGCATTCAATTTTTAAACCTTACTAAAAATGAAGTTACATTGTTTCTATCCATATTGTACCACATATAAATTTTACATTTGAAAGTAATTACTTTAAATGTGTTAAGCTGCATAAAAAAGAAAATGGTCAGTTGGCAGTAACGTCCCCATATTTGCAATTTGACGACGTTTTGAAAACCTTGAATAAGTAGTAGAGGACAGAATAATCTTAATTACATGTCATTACTCGCATCAAAAACAGTTTTAGCATTTATAAATTAACGCGTAATCGTTTCACTATTTACGTTGTCAAGGTTTTTTTTATTCAGTAGTCAGATAACATAATCCTCAACCCTGCAAGCAGACAAACTGTATATATTCGTTCAAAACTACTTGTCATGGTGTTTTAAAATACACAGACATGCATTTTGAAAATGTGCCAGCCAGTATGGATCGGACAGCATATATTGGATGAAGAGGATACTATAAGTTTAGCCCACGTACCGAGAAGCGGACGAAAGCGAGTCCAGGTATAAATGGGACAATCATTTTGAACCTATTAAACCAAGAAAATACCCATAGACCTGTTTGGAAACTTCACAGTTTTGCGGCCAAGCCCTTCACAGCTTGGAAAGTTTTAAGAAACTAACAATTGAAAGAGTTTTAATAAAAATTGTTTAATTTATGCAACATAACATCCTCCTTGACATTCCAATCTGAACTATAGACAGTGCATTTATAAAATTTTCGCTCCAAGTTCGTATAAAAACAAAGGAAAACACATTCTTGCTTGCTTTGTGAATCTATATAATTCTTGATACGATCATACAGCTGCTTGATTCCTTTATAGAGCCCATTTATTTGGCCACGTTTTCAGAATCTCTTCGATACTATTACAGTGATCTTTGAGGTGAGACTTCACGCTAGGAAGACAAAAGCACTGTATATGTGAATAAGAGTAAATTGAGATCTGTGATATTTTTCTATGCTAAAAACTGCCTGGCGAGACTATAACTGTATGACTGCACATTGTCGGGCAGTAATTATTCGATTGAATATTTTCATATCTAACGGGCTGAATTCTCTTCAAAAGTCTGTCTGTTACATCTTTATAAAATACGGATATCACTTTCTGGTTTAAAAAAAAAAAAAAAAAAAAAAAAAAAAAAAAAAAAAAAAAAAAAAAAAAAACATCATTCTGAAATGAATTACCATTTGTGAATCAATAAAGATCACCAACACGGTGTTTACTTGGGATATCTGGAAAAGAAAAATGTCTCCATATTTTACCGCTTTTTCTCAGGATTACACGCAAAGCACCAAGTTTCACTTGCCGCCAAAATTTATTTGAAAATATCAGGATTAACGGCTGCCATTTAGATCATCTGTATAACATGGCTAATTACTTTGCTTCTGGCAGAACTTTTAGCATTACACTCGTATCCAAATTTATCTTTACATGCATGAAATCTGGAATTTCTCAGAAACTGTGAACTATAATTTTATGAATTTTCGTGGAATGATATGTAACTTCACAACACATAAATACAACGGAAATAAGTTACGAGCACTGCGTATGATATAAAACTGTATTATGAAACAACAAAAATGGTAATATATGTTATAAGAAAAGCTCAGAAAAAAATTACGATTTATGAACTTAATACGGAATGTTATCCCCCCCTGAATTGTACATATATCACAACGTGTTTCAGGTTGGCAATAGCGTTGTTAACCACAGCTTAGGGAATTAAGTTCCAGTACTTCAGCAATGCGATCTTCAGAGTATTTACATCTCTAGGAGAATGTCTTCCTGCAACTGCTTTCCCAACGTAGTCCGACCGGGTTAAGATGAAATTTTGCTGGCTACGGTATTCGCTCAACATCTTCTTTTTCAAGGAATTCGTCGATGAGGTCTTCTCGATGTAGACGACCATTATCGTATATAAATAAAAAGTCGGGACCGTATGTTGCTGAAAAATTTGTAGGGATTTACGTCCATTGACCACTATTCCTCGCAAAACCATCAATCATACCTGCATTAACAAAACGGGCACATTCCTTAATTGTTCGATGGAAAATTTCGCTTTTCTTACTCCATCCAGATGTAAATACTTTTAGACTCAAGTCATCAGAAAAGAAAGCATAGAACCAGTGGTTTTCATTCCAGTTCTGATGTTCTTTGTATCGATTAAATTGACCCCCCCTTTTGTTATGAAAACAGTGAAAAGCGACCCTTAGCTTTCTGGGATAAAAGCAGTTCTGATTTTCATAGCATACAGACTATCTTTCTTGAAATATTCACTCATCTGATTGTTTCCATGATTGTCTGCTGTGCTTCAGAACGGCTGATGATTCGCCGCTTCGCAGATTCTTCCAAATAAAACCTTTTTGAGTTCTTATAACAGAAATGAAATAGTGGATAGCAGAAATAGCGCCTGATTCCCCGTTTAATGACGTAATGCTTTTATTTATATATCAGAAACCGTTTGCTCACTTATGATTGGGTTAATAAGGCTTGTCTTTTCTTTATTATATTTGGTTATGTAAAGTTAAATTTGAACATGAGTGTATAATTAAATTTGAAAAATGGCAATTGGTGTCATTGATTTCTCAGTTTTGTTTTAATTAAATTATTGTGATTATGTATGCAATACTTTTTTAATATATAAGCAAGCATACTTATGCATAATATTAATAAAATAATACAGGATCTGAAAGTAATTATATCTTTAAGCTAAAACTGCTCAATACTATTTATTAATTTTTAAGCTTATGCATACGACTCCATCGAAACCGTTAGTCAGAATTTCAAGAAATTCTCGACACCTATTTGAGTATAAAATGATCGACTATTATGCTTCTCACATAAAAATTTATTAACTGTTCATAATATTTCCGAAAGTTATTTGATCGATGATATGCTCTTACATAATACTCGGAGGGCATCCCTCATTCACTAGAAGAGATCATGTAAATGTAAAATTTAAACCTAACAAAAAAGTCTGGCGTAGCGAATTTTTTTAAAAAAATATAATGAGCAGGGGGGGGGGAGAATTGGAGAAATTTTTTTTGATCCTGAAAAGAGGAATGTATGTCTGATCATCCTTAAAATCCATACATATATTCAAAATCTAAACCAATCTTAAGTCGTTTCATTACCTAATTTTAAATCGTCGACTAAAACAGAAAAGAAGCTGTAGGGACAATTTTCTGATTCTTGACAATTTTTATAATATATTTAGGCGACTTTATCCTTTATTTTCTCGGGAATTTACTTCAGTTAAAAAAATTATTCCATTCTATTTTATAACTTTAATTGAATCGTTGCAATGTATTTTTCTTTTATACGTATACAAGTGGACCGGATTTGGACAATTCAATAACAATATCTGAATGATAACATTAACCACGATCACATTAAGCGATGTCTACTGCACTAATGTTCTATAGCTTAATGAATAAAAAATTTATATTGGCATTAAACGCATAACGATTAACAAAAATTGTGTATGAATTACTTCACATGAATAAGAAACAGAAACACAACTGCAGCACGTTTGTGGAGGCAATAATATTTAATAACAGCTACAGAAAAAAAAAGCAATTCCAATAAAGAAAATTAAATACACTTATACATAAAACAAGTCCCAGTTTATAGCATATTACAGAGATATTCACATAAAACTTGGCACTTTTAAAATGTTGAAATATAAACATGATAATTTCCCCATTCACAGTTTGTATACTATGAGCAATAACTTATGTTTTAAATATAAAGAATGAAACAGAAAGACTTGAGTACTTTTCTTATTACATGCTGGAAACCAAGATAAAATATACCATTTCACTCCAGATTAAGCATTAGATGATAAGAATGCCATTTCCTTAAGACTATACCACAAGAAATATAATTTCATTTACCAATATTTACATCATTTTCTATACATTAATGATATTATTGATTAATAAGAGATAACAATTTTCAACAGCTATTTATCACAACTGTCAAATGGAAAATGTCCAGGTATAAGGGCAATTTCAATGCTAGAACTGAATAAGTCCATGATTAAGATTCTAGTATGTAAATTTCAGGTACTGTGCTACATAATTTTGAATTAGTACTTTATCAAAAAGAACAGTGAATGAATTATGAGATTTCATTCAAATAATCATCAAATTTTTATATATCTGGTGTATAAGATGACTTTCAATGTGCAGTGTCTAGAAAGTTTGGCATAAAATAAAAACTTATCCAAGATGAAAGAAAGAGAAGGTAGGGGAAGTAAGCCAGAATCAAAATATATTTGAAAAACAAGTACGTATCAGAATGGGCCAGATTTTGAAGAAGCTGTGGAAAACTGGTTTTTTGAAAATTGCAAAACAGGAACACCATAATGTGCATGTTTCTTAAATGGACTGAATACAGTCTGAAAGTTAAGGGATTTGAAGGATACTGTTAGTTGGTCTCAGTTATTTATGAAAAGAAAAGATTAAATGATACAACTCCAGCAAGAGTTAAAAATGACTCAGATGATGACGAGTGTCAGTAAATCTTCATTTATGATTTAAAGAAAAGTCAATCAAAAAATACTAAGCATAAATTTATTTTAGAAATATTTCAACAGTTCAGAAGGTCTGTCCTTTCATACAAATTTCATAGAATATTTTTTTCCTCAATTTTTTATAAATAAAAATATTTTTCTTTTACTCACTTTTACATCGGACTGGAGTTAAGGGTTCAGTTTGTTGCCCTCTGTGTAATCAGGATGATATGGATGATGACCACCTCAAGAACTGAGTTTAAAGTTTATCACAGACAACTCTATTGAAGCTAACTTTTACCCTTTCTCTTTTTTCCATTCTCATCATTTTATTGGGCTGCTCATCAACTTAGCAGAAATGTTGAAGACTGGCATAGGATTAAAAAAAAAAAATCTTCTACTCAACGTTTTCTTTTACAATGATGAATCACTTTTATTCAATATAATCATTAGGTGGTTAATAAAAAATTTTTAATTATATTTTACAGCCCACATATAAATTTATTACACTTTTAAAGCCTAAAACCTTGATTTATACACTGAATATATGCTATGTTAATATAGGAAAATTACATTACACATAAATATTATATTATGTATTTTTCATGCTACAACTGTCTCATCTTCACACCAAAAGCAATATATTTATAATTTATTAATTATTAGTTTGACATTTATTATATACCTGAAATTTACAGAAACCACACTTCACGCTTACAGCCTACTTCTTACACTAAGAAGCTTTGAAAAGATCGATATTAAGGTATTCTTTTTAACAAAAAGCACTGCTATGCATTTGCAGTGAAACAGAAGTATACTAGTCAAGCAAATAAAGCAAACACATGGACAGAGACAAATGAATGAAATGAAATATGAATTTGAAGTCAAGAGTCATGCTCATTTGAAAATACATAAAATACTAACGACATAAATGTAAGGATAATAGTTATGCCATTCTATGAAAAAATTAAACAAATTTACAGTAAGTACGCTGCCTTAAGTTTTAATGGAAGCAAAATGACTATTGATTCAAAAAGTGGATTTTATTTACAAGTTAATTTCATTTTTAAAATTATCAATTACAACTTGAAATAGCTTACATACACTTCTCGTACAATTTACACAAATACATTAACCTGGATGGATATACAAAAATCCATTGTGCTAATTAACATTTAATTTAAAGTATTAAAACTAATTAAATATTTCCAAAGTGTGATTATAATGTGCTGATAATTTAGGTAATGCTCAATGTTAAGGCATTATGGCACAGCATAAGCTTTTTAATAGTTTTAAATGGAGTGAACTTTTATTGGAACTACAGTTTACTTCTGTGAACCCACTCTAGGATGATTAAACACAGTTTAGGATGATTTTAATCATCTTTGAAGGTAGCCGTCTTGAAAAAGATGACTATTAATGATGATAATTATGAATCTGAATAATTAATTTACTCTATTCGAAGCTCTTAGAGTTCATTAATGAAAAATTTGAAGTAGAAGTCCAGTATATCATATTGCCAATATCATAGTATAATATAATTATGAATTACAAAGACAATACATAATACAGATAAAAAATTCAATCTTTTGAAATATTCTAAACAGAAATATTTAACAATAAGGAAAATAATATATGTAAAGGGGTAAAAACTATATTAAAAATATTGCTTAATAATTTCAAAATACTCTCAACTTATTAACATCCATCGAATGAAGTCTCACTGCCAGCATTATCTTTAGTAAGTAATAATTACATTTAAAACTTTAATGCTTTTATTCTTTGTTTTGTAATCATCTTAGGCTAATTAATTATCATTTACAAAACTGTAAATAAAAAGTAATTTGCTTCAATGCATGACATTGCCACTCTGAAATATAAATATGACTCACTACAACAAACTGCTAGAAACTTAAAACAAAAATGAACTGCCTTGCAATTACTTGAACATAGGTTTGTTGCATGGCATTCAATGGGCAGATAAAAAAATGTTACAATTAGTATAAACAGTTTAAAAATGTGATGAACTATTTAGAGAGCCATTTCATAACCCGAATAAAACTTTATGATATTGTACACACTCTGAATTAAAGATGAACAACTGTTTACAATAGAAAAGCATTGGCATCATAGTAACAGACAGAGAAAAACTTGACTCATTTTACATAAAGTATGGGGTGCTTAAAAAAAGGATGACTATTTTCAAATACTTAAATTTAATAGTGAAAATGTTTAATAGTTACAAAATAAATGTTATTCATGTACCATAATCATATGTGTTCTATGCATACAAAGCTACACAAAGCATAGACAACATCAAGACAATAGCTGAATTTGTCAGGACATTTTTTTAAACACCCTCTACTAGAAATTGATAATGAAAAATCGTATGTCTTAACATATTTAATGGTCTGGATAAGTTAAGCAATGATTGCTTCAAATACAACCATTTCTACCATAATTATCAATACCAATGTTTAATATATTGATATTACATCCATATAATACACTGTTCATATAAACCTTATTATAATTATCAATGGCAATCTTTATATTCTCAGAAATAATGGTAGTTTTCAGCAATTATCAACTTAGGTAGGAGGTCTATGGCATAGCATTTACAATAATTCTTTTATTTAAAATTTATGCTTATACATACGGTCAAAATTTCTATTCTCCAGTTATATTTCTTTTTGGTTTCTTCTTTACTTATCAATACTTTTATTTTCTTATACTTAAATTATGGAAAATGCTTGGTATTATTATTTTCTCCAATACAGTATTATTCAAAATGACTGACCTTATTTCAGCTGAGCAAAATTATGTAGCTATTAACTATACATTAATTCTATATGCATATCAAATGAAGGAAGTCTCACTTTTTGAATATCATCAAAATGTCTACATTGAATAATAATTTGTTAAAAAACATTTATGCCTTTGACAAGTTGGATTATATCCAATGACATGCATGTCTGATGTCTGAGCTATGAGACGTTATGAAGTTTTTTCTCTTTGTTATATAAAATATTTTATGCACTTCTAATCACAAACCTGTATGACCTCAATAAGTGCAATTATATTTGTAGAGATTGTAACTAATAGAAATGATATGCAAAAGCAAATATGGTAAGTAAAAGATTATCATCATGACATGATTCATTAGTGTAATTAAAGGAAGTCTTTGCTCCCAACTTTGACTGCTTTCATTTCAATTTCATGTACGAAAATAGACACTGAAGTTCAGTTAACAGGCATTTATTATATATTTCTAGATTAAGAGTTTCAGAGCTTTAAATGTCATTTCTTTAAACAGGCATTTTTTTCTCATTTTATTTATTCATATTTAAGTATCTGCTTTAAAATTCTAAAACTGAAGCTATTTACATAGCTTTTTAGAACATTTGTAACATTATATTTAGCCTAAAAAACTTAAAGAAATATATTTTTTACATTAACAATAATTCTTTTATTTAAAATTTATGCTTATACATACGATCAAAATTACCATAATTATCAATATCAACAAGAGAATCAGAGAATTATCAGAGATTATCAGAGACTTTCATTAGTCAAAAATCTTAACTTTTTAACTTAGCTGCATCAAAACCAAATACAATAATACAGAAAAATAAAATATCTTTTATGTCTCATGTTTGACCTGCATACAATATCTTAAAATTAATTTGTTAATAATTAATGAATCAAGAAGCAATTTAATCTTTAACTTTAAAATGTTAAGTTTCTAATGAATTATCAGCTCAGGATCAAATCTGAGATACATTTTTTGGGGGTGGGAATATTATGAGATTCAAATTTTAAGGTATAAAAATGGTCTTAATTACAAAATTACCTCATGATATATGTCATGTAATGTGATTTTCATTTTAAATGATGAAGCAGAAAAAGCAAATGCAAAAACATAAGAGAAACTGCAATTGTCGTAGAAGAAAATTGCAAACACTAAAATAGTAGGAACTTAGATTATTCAAATACAACAGCAACAACAAACTATCTGCAGCCATTTAAAAAATAATCTCAGTTGTAATTAATTCTGAAAGATAATATTAGTAAATTATGCATGCATATCTACATCAATTTTGGGGACAGGTGCTTTTGACTTTTAAAAATTTTAATATTTATTATTCTATACCACATTTCAGGTGTAATAAAAAAAGAATTTAAAATAAAGATGCTATTCTAAACTTATATTAATAAAGCGCATGCAAAACACACAAGTTACAATGCAATATAAATTCATTTCAATAATTCTATCAGAAATGAATTCAGAGGCAGATTCAATTGTGTGTGTGTTTATGTATATATATATATATATATACACACATATATGTGTAATGTTCCAATGCATAGAAGAATATCTTACATATATATATATATACACATTTCTATGCAGCACAATTTGTCACCAACAATTATAATTTCAGAAAGCCATTTAAAAGGTGTCCAGCAGAAGTTTTCTGTCAGATGATAAAATATTAGATTACTCAATTATACAATCTTCAAATTGTGCAATGACTGATTTCATAATATACATAATACATATATGATTTCATAATATACAGAATATAAAAAAATATTATAAAACACACTTTAATAATCAACAAATCATTATTAAAGATTCTACTTTACAGATAGAATTACTTTCCAGTAAAATTATCCAGGATTTTTATTTTTTAAACAAATTTTATTAAAAATTAAAAGAAAAAAAAAAGTTGGAGAAAAGTGAAAAAAGAGAGAGGCAGGGAATATTTTTTAAAAATATTTATAAAAATAATTAAACTCACAGATTAAAAAAAATATATAAAACTATTATTTGACAAAAAAAACTTATTCATAAAAATATTTTATTTCATACTTCTGTTTTATATAAATGGCACACCTTTAAAAATTTTGCTTTAAAATTTAAAACATTATATTTATTTTGTATGATATTTAAATATTACTAACAAATCAAATCATGTAATGTCATGCTAACAGCAAACATCATCATCAACAACAAAGAAATCTTCCAATTCAAAATGAAACAAGATATTAAATAATAGATTTTATTTATAATTTGTAACCTAAAACAGTCATGAGATTTGAAAGAGAAAGAACAAAAGAAAATAAATATATAATTGCTTAAATTATTAGCAGAACAAACAAAGAATTTCAAAAAGACAGCTGCAGACATTTATGTCTAATGAAACAAAGCCTTGGTCAAAATAACAAAACCTATACACATTTAGAATCTATAATGATAATTAATATTTATAGTACAAATGATAAAAATGTACAGAAGCTCATTTAAAATTTCAATGTACTAATTGAAGGAAGATCAGGTAATTTCATGTCTTTGATTTGCTGAGGAATATTCATATTTTTTACAGCAGAAACAGCCCTAGCTGGAGCAGCAGATAGGCCAGCCTGCAAATAGTAAAAATTAACAAGTAATGTCAATTCAAAATCTTTTATTGCAATTAAGGAAGACAATTTTCTAATAAATTTTCTTAACACAGCAACACTTATATATTTACCCATAAATAGTTTTAACATATGACAGGTATTTTCTGAATAAGTATGATAGTATATCAACTATTTTGGACATTAAAAAAAAGTGTTATACTGCATAAAATATCACCACTGGTAATGCTCAAGCACAAGGAGGGAAAACAAACTAGAAAATGCAAAAAAAGAACATATCTATAAGGTATAAACATGACAGACACTGCCCATAAAGGCTCACTTTTGCAGGAGGCTAAATTGTACTATTTTCTATTCAAAAGTGATACAATTAAAAAATGGGTATATTTTGACATGTGATCTATATTTCTCATATATAGTCATCATTTTTGATACATGGTATTAGCAAATTTTAACTGAGTTCAAAAGATGTAAAAATTTTATTACCAAGCAAAAATATTTTAAATATTTTCTTAATTTTATAACTTGTTATATAAACAGCACCAATATTGTCAATTATATGCCACCATATCTCACAAACTGACACCAAACAGGCAGTAACCATGGTCATTATTAATCCAACTGTTTCAAGAAGAACTTTGAGAGCTATGTTTTGTTTCCTAATATTTATTAAAAAATTACATTTTTAATTCACCAAATAGAGAAAAAGATGTCTTTTTACCAAAAAAGAAGCATTTTACCTCAGATTTAAATATGCAAACACGGTAGCAAAATGAAATTATACATAAATGAAAACATCTGGAGAAGCAATATGAAAAGAAATTCTTATATCATATTTGTGACTGCATCAGGTGGTAAGATATCTAGCATCGGCCTTCACTAAGACTTAAGTATATGTGCTAATTTATTTATTCAGGATTCAGATAAACCTTATGCATGTGCAAAAAATAGATGTAAATATAATAAATAACTAAATTAATACAATTCAGGCTTAACTGCTTCAGTGTGTGATAGAAGCAAGACAAAATTTAGCTAAATAACTTGCCTTTTGTTGCCAATCTCATGACACATAGCCGCCAACAATGTATAGTAGACATTATTAAGCTAGGCTAAAATTATACTTCCAAGGAATTTCAGTTAATATAGCAGATTGCTCTTTTCTTAACTTTTTGATTTGATCCAGCTTATTAATTTTTGCAGGCTGTTATTACAGCAAGTTTAATGTTAAAAAGAATTTCTCATTCTGGAGCTGCAAAAGGATATACAAAGCATGTTTCGATGTCCATTAAACAAAATATGGAATTGCTGCAAAAAATGAATAAAGGTATAACCGTCTCAAAATTATGGGAGGAGTATAGCCCACTGGAAAGTCAACTGTATATGACATAACAGAAATAAGAATTTTTTGTGATTCTGACACTACTCGCAAATGAAAAGCAGCAAAATTATTCCTTATGCTAGTAGTGATGATCACTACAGAGTGATGATTGAATGGGTCAAACAGCGTTGCAATGAGTGTGTGCCATTGACTAATGACCGAGTTCTAATGGCTCAAACCAAAATATTTCATGAAAAAAATGAAGTTAAAAATTGAGTGCACATAATCAATAGGTGGGTCAAATTTAAAAATTTCCCTGGTATAAGGCAATTAAGAATTTTAGGTGAAAAAGCTTCAGCTGATACTAAAGCTGCTAAACTATTAGAGATGAATTCATTGAACTCATTAATAGTGAAAAGGAATCTCCAAAACAAATTTACAATGCTAATGAAACTGATCTTTTCTGGCAATATGTACCAGGAAATATCTTGGAAACCTCTACAGAAAAGGCTCCAAGTGATGTCAAAGATTCTAAAGTGAAACTAACAATTTTAGCATGTGCAAATGTTGCAGGAACGTACAAGTGTAAACTCTTTGTAATCGAAAAAATACAAGAGCTCAAGCATTTAAAGAAGTAAAGAATTTTGCCATTACTTGTCATGAAAATAAAAGAGCATGGATGACAAAAGCAATGAATGATTGGTTCGAAAATCATTTCATACCCCGAAGCTCGGCAACATTTGAATTTGATTTGTTTACTTGATGACGCAAAAATTGTCCTGATTGTAGACAACAGTTTGACTCATACTTCACATAAAGTTTTAGTTAAAAGATAATGTAGCCGTTACTATACTTTCCTTTAAATTGTACATACATAATTCAGCCTATGAATATCGTGATAGCGCGCACGTTGAAATGCAAATATAAAGTAGTATTTTTAAATCCATGTCAAATTTCTTGAATAATGGCAAGACCATTCAAGAATTTATGAAATATTTTAGCTTAAAAACTCCCGTGTGGAGAATCGCAAGATCATGAAAGGATGTCCCCAAATATTTTTTAAAATGCTTGCCATAATGTATGGCCAGCTACCATATTGCATGGTGAGGATGATGAAGATGACAGCTGCGAATTTTAATGTTTCCAGATATCGTGAACCAAAGGTAAAATTTTCCAATTAATGGATTTTATAAAGAAACTTGGAGAAGTGGTAATAAATGAAGATGATGTAACAAGTTTTTCATTACATTGACAATGCCCCAATCATCAATCAATTAAGGGAGTGCGAAATCTGTAGCACGGTTCTTGATCCAGAAAATACCACTACCGATAGTGAAGAAAGTGACAGAGAGGTCACTGAAAATGAAAAAAATTCTTTTGATAAGTTAGTAGGAATTCTCGCCATAGCAATTACTGGACTTGAACAAATGGAACTTTGTAACTGAACAAGAAATTATGTCTGTCCATAGAATTGAAGAGAAAGTATTAACACAAAAAAATGAAGCAACTTAAAAAAAATTACATTCAAAGAAATGCTTAATAAAGTAAATAATTAAATATTAACCTTTTTTTTTTTTTTTATTATTTTTTTTGTAAATTTTGATACCTTTTAGATCATAAATGCTTCATTATTCCATAAATCATGATTTCATATTTTTAAATTTTTATTTTCTACATGCCATCTTACCAGATTTAAACTGACGATCTAATATTTGGGAAATTCCAAATCCGGAAACACTGAATTCTCGACGAGTCTGGATATCAGACTTTATACTATTTTAATGATTGTTATTAAGTATCAATTACATTTTATTTCTGCCATTTATCCTTTAATTTTTATGATCAGTGTACTTTTGCACTGGTGACAAGGAAGACAATGAACAGAGATTTTTTACATGTTCACTACCGTGCCCTGCCTCTGGATAATGGTCAATCTCAGTTTTGATGCAGAATTCTCTAGGGGACAGATCAGAAAGTCATGATGTATAATAACTATCTTCAACCTCTCAAAAGGACTTGATAATATTTTATGTACTCCAAAGTGCAAACAGCTGGCTCCCTTACTACTATAAATACATACACAAACATGTGACATAACACAAACGTAAATATTCGGTACTTTTCCGTTTTGCAGGCACAAACGATAAAGTCGCCAATAATGGTACATTTGATGCCATACGGAATATCTTCGCTGGTAACCTTTTACACCTCATTTTCAAAACAAGTCGCAACCATTTCTTACCAGATTGATTGTTTCTTTCAATACTGGCATACAATTTACATAGAATATTTACAAAGATACTTAAATTTTATGCTCTAAGACCATTCGCAGTAATTAAGTAAATTAGGATGCAATCACACCGCTCACCCGAAAGTGAAAATATAGAAAAGGCAAAATCAAGGGTTAAATTCATCCATTCTAATGAGAATGCACTAGTGAAGCACTCCGGTTTTGCATAATTTCTGAGTAAGCTATTTGTATGAATCGAAATAATTCTTGCATTTAAACTTGTATTCCAAATTAAGATTTAACTTGAAATTAATATAGATAATTACTGAGAGAATTATATTTTTGTAGCGTAGTTTACGTGAGATAAGATCACTTGGGGTCATGTGATAACGAACCGGTGAATCAGGATGTTGAATCCTGATAGCATAGTGAATTTTTAAATTAATGTCTTTTTACAAATTTATTGTCTTTATTTATTGGCTTTTTACAAAATTTTAAACCATATTAAAATGTTTATGCCTTCAAAATAAAAAAACTCTTAGAACTAACATTTGTTAACATTTTTTATGTGTATACTGTATGTTGTCTCCAACAAAGTCTGCTTGGCGAGATTTGCGCCGGCGAAACGGAAAAGTACCAAATATTCTAGCATGACACTGCTTGGTAAGCAGAAAAACATTTAGCAGTAAACAACAGATGCCATTTAATGTGATGATGTTTGTCCACAACTCATTTGAGAACATTAACCGCATGATAGCATTAAATAACGAGAAAAAATATCTTTAAAATAGCAACGAATTTTTTAACTAATTTAATATAAATGTAACTAGAAACAAAAAGTACTTTCACTACATTTTAATCAGAAAAACACAAAAGTTTTTTTTATCAACTGCTCATGAAATGCAAAAATTTGTAACATTTCTAGAAATTATTAGACTGATTCTCTACCCTTATCTTAATACTCAGAGGCATCCCTCATTCGAAGAAAACATGCCAGTGTCAAACTGAGGGTTTCTTTTTTTTTTTTTTTTTCTTTTTTCTTTTTGTCTACTTTTAAATGTTGACTAAAATCAAAACCAAACTATTAGGCGACATTTTTATATCAAATGGAAGTTTTTATACTCTATTTTGACTTTATCTAGCAATTTTACTTCAGTTTAAAAAAATTATTTTATAATTTTTTGATTATATCAACAAGATTGTTGAATACAATAAGTGATATATTTTTCATGTTTCCCATATAAAAATGGGCAAGACTTCAGCAATCCGAATGATAATATTAACTGTGATCACAGCACAAGTAATCACACAAAGTAATTTACAGTTTTGTAAACCAAAACAAATTAACAAAAGTAAAAAATATTTAAGGAATTAGTCTATAACATCTAACACTTTACCTCCTGTTTCTCAAGCTTGTTCTGTTCTTCAACCCTTGTTATTATTTCTGTCATGTTTGTTTCTAATACCATGCCACCCATGACTAGTTCATTAAGAATATAATGCACCTATAAAGAAGCAGTGTTTTTAAATGCAATGTTAATATTCAAAGTTCAATTAATATACAAAGAAGTAAAGTTTACAAAAAAATTTAAAAATACATATTCCTACAAACCCAAGAAAACATGACAGTTGCTAAAGATTACAACCTCAAGTTAAAATTACTCTAGGTTGGCATTCTGGAGCCCAGTTTAAATGCAAATAAGTATACAGGAGCTTTTGAAGAGTCTCATGTGCTTCATTAGATGGTTTCATCACATTTATCACCATTCATTGGTTTCTACAAGATTGCTGTACTCGGAACCACCGTTCAGATGTATGGAAGACTGAAGATAAATTTCTGTTGCAGCATCGCTTGGTGGTGAAAGGAAAATGTTTGTTGCAACATCATTTGGTGGCTTCAATTTGCCATGCATCTGAACACCAACTGAGTGCACAGCAACCCTGCAGAACCAACAAAGTATGATGAATGTGATGAAACCATCCATTCCAGCTCCAATTGATGAAGCTGGTGGGTCACCTACAAAAGCTCCTGTTCTTTTATTCATGTTTTAAACATGGTTCTAGCATGTTAACTTAGAATATTTTATCTCCTTTTTAACTTCATTTTAATAATGTGTGCCAATTAAATTTTAAACATTACAATCACATAATAAAACAATTTAAGTAACTTGTTTAACTATGAATGCTTCAGACAGGGTTACAAAAGAAAGCATTAAGACCATTGGGCCGCCCACGTGCAAATTAAAATTGGCCATCGTTGTTTACAGATATGTGATATGTTTGATAATCATTTTGTCACCCTAAAATTTGGTTGCCCATGTGCTATGCCCCATCTTGCCCCCTGATAAGATTAGCCCTACAGATTACTTGCAAATTGGGCATCTGTCAGATAAAAGAAAATTCCACAAAACATGATCTGAAGAATCTAGAGTCACTTGGGCAATGGTCAATCATTTTGCTGATCAAAGTCATTCAAGAATAATTGAAACATCTGAAGATCACTTTTCAATGCTAGTACAAAGAAATTATTTAGCAACTTCTAAGCAGTTGGCTTCAGATCTATCAGCTGTCAGTACTTGAAGAAATTGACCTACTACTTACAGAAGACTTCATAAACATAGTCTTTATAAAAGACAACTGCTGTGCTTAGCTTTACTTTTCTGCATCTGACCCAAGTGATAAAAATGGTGTCATTTTTAACAGTGAAATCAAGATGATATGGCCCAAGTACTATTGATAAATGAATTTAGATCAGTACATAACTTCATTTCGAGAGTTTGGAATACATAATCTTTCATGAAAGCCACTGTTTCCATGTTAGCAATTTATATGGGGAGGAATCGTGAAATAGTTGCAGCTGCACCAAACTCCAAATATATAATAGAAATTCTGAGAGACACAGACATATGTAAATGAGGTTTTGCATCTTTATATAAGTCTGATTAAGGGTGACATGGACTAGATGTTTTTGTTAAAGGAATCATTTACTGCTTCTGTTGGCATTTAGTTCTCGGTATTTTTTTGGAGGCCTTTGTTATATTTACATAAGATATTTTATTTATGAATGCTAATTCTCATCCTTATCCAGCTTCTGTAGTTGCAAAACATAGTAAAACTGATGATACTGTTAAAACATATTACCTCTTACTTACTCAGCCTCTGTCCTAGTCTCATTTGTGAAAGGTTGGTAGTATTAGCATGCCAGTTTCATCTAAGCTCAAGAAGCTAAGAATTGCTCTCTAAAAAATGGCATTTGATCCCACAGGAATTAATTGATGTTTTAATTAATAGCATCAAAAAAACAATGAGAAATATGCAATTCTTCTAGAGGACATCAAACATTCTCTTAAATATCTATATTCCAGAATGATTATGATGACATAATTTTGTATATTTTAAATTTTGTGCATGCTCTGACATTAGCCACAATATTTTAGCATTATTCAATAGTAAAAAGATAATATGTCTTCATAAATGTTTAGATAGAATTCTTACATATTTTTTTATCTTGCATTAAAAATATAGTCCAATTTTATTAATTATTTAATTTTCTGAATAAAAGGAAATTTCACATAATCAGCAAAGTATGAAAAACATACATTCTGCAGAATTTTTCAGCAATATATATATATATCTCATAATGTCTGGCATTTTGAGGCAATGTACAAATTATTAGAATTATTCAAATGTCATTCATATTTCACAGAATTTCAGACATTACACAGAATGACAAATGAAAAGATGAGCATACTATGGAATAACAAATGCTGGCAAAGGAGCCATGAAAAGGCTTTCATTGAAAAGAGGTATATGAAAATGAAAGAAATACAAAGTATAGAAAATAAAATGTGTTACACATTTTATTTTCTACTCTTTTCCTCAATAACTAAGTTCTTGTTGTTGCAATACGAAAGGAAATTGAAAGTAACATACTACACTTTTTCACTGAAATACACTGAACAGCAAATTAGTTAAAAAAAATATTACTGTAGAAAATAAATTATTTTTAAAGAAAGTACTTCTTGAATCATTCACGTAATAATTTCAGTTTTTAAACAATAATGATTAATCATATAAAACTTTCAGCAATTAATTCTCTCAAAACTCATATCACTATAATTATTAAATTAATTCAATTTAGAGCATAACATTTATTGCCATTAACTAATAAGCACATATTTACAAAACTAGAATTCTTTTATAAGGATAGATTTATTTATCTATATAAATATAAGAGTGTGGTGTTTCAAGTAATTTTTCATGTACAAAAGGTTTTCTCTTATTTCTCACTTTTATGCTTTTGAAACGTGCCATATCTTTATCCTGATAGCATTATTTGACCCTACCTTTCCCCTTTATTATACACCTATAGAAGACATTTTTGTATTTTTTGTTTAATCAAATTTGCCTTTCAGACTGTAATTTTGAACACGCACGTACAATTCCTCAAGTGAAAACAAAATCTATAATAGTTTTAAATTAAAAAATGATACAAAAATGAAATAATAACTGGAAAATTATATTACTATTTAATAAATACTGATACATGATTTTTATAACACTACAGTTTTAAAACGAAATTATTATCAACATAAAAAAAGACTTACCTTGTCCACATGGAAAATTAAATCTAATTCACATACATTTTCAAAACACTTATCCAATGTCTCCACAAATACCTAAAAAGATAAAATGCAGTGATGAGAAACATTATTATATGTAAGCAAGGGAAGAGAAAGAAACAGTTTAGCAAAGAAATGACACAGATATTTGGCACAGAAATTAACAATAAACCTTTAATGTTTTAATTCAGAAGTCAAACAACAAAAATCAGCGTTATAGTTACAAAATTTTCACAGGACTAGTTTCGATGGTTTTACCGAACCACCATCCTCAGCTGCAAAACCGCAAATGAACAAGATAGGAAATAATGATTAGATAAGATAAGAAAGCCTGGACAAGAATAAGCAAGTGGTGCCATCTGTTGGTAAAACCAGAACTATTTCACCATGGTGGTTCGGTAAAACCATCGAAACTAGTCCTGTGAAAATTTTGTAAATATAACGCTGATTTTTGTTGTTTGACTTCTGAATTAGTATTTATTCGGCGTGTTATTGTGTCTTAACTTTAATGTTTTATTCAAGACATCAAACAATTCTGTATAAAATACATAATATATTATGTTAGAAACACTTTTTATTAACCCTCTCAGCGTTACGGCTGGAAAATTCCGTACAGAAGGTTGCGTTCCACATTCATTATACATGAAAATTTCTGCTAGCTTTTAATATATCTGATTTCAGTTTGGATGTATATTGGAAGAAAAAGAATCAAGGTACAAAATGAAAGAGTCATTTTTTAATTAAAATCATGAAAATACGACTTTTTCATGACATTTTGAGGAACTTTGATATTTCAAGGCTAAACCCGTAATGCTCAGAGGGTTAAATAACATAATACTGCAAGTATTCACAAAAACTACCAGCTGGATTTTTAACTTAAATGTATTCAAAAATATTCTCTGTTGCAAACAAATATACACATACAAAAAAATTGAGCCAGAACTATGAAATGCAGCATGCAAATGTGCTTTGGTGAATTGTGTAAATGATGTAAGTTGTAGCACCAATCACTGTGGATCAATACAACATGAATCTAAAGTGTACAGCTGGTAAAACGTAAAAGAGCAGATGCAGCGAGTGACAAGCATTTACAACTGCATTAACAGCTTGGATACATGGCACTGTAATGAAAGATACCTTTAAGACAAACTCAACAGCATTACAAACAGCATCAGATTTTGAGAGGGGTCATAGCATATTGCTAAAAGAGGCAATTGGTTGAACTGGCAGATCGGCCAGCACATTGATCAAAGCAATAGGATCATTGTCCATCGTTGGAACCAGTGGCTTACATAGTCAGCCATCATAATGACAATTCCAGGCCACCAATGCATGAGATGATTGTGTAATTAGAAGAGCTGCCACATCTGCACTAACAGTTATGCTATCATCGATTCAATGCCATTTGCTAGTTTGCAGGGATTCCAAAATAGTCAGGGATACGATTCGCAGAAGACTAGCTGACACACTGCGCTTAGATCTTGACATCCATTCAGACCCCTGCCACTGAGATTCCATCATAAGCAGTGTCATCTTGCATACTGCCACTTTCATTCAAGCTGGACAATGTCTGAATGGAGAAATGTGAAATTCATCAACAAATCATGCTTTTCTCTCAATGTTAATAATTGCTGCATACATGTCTGGAGACAGAAAGGTGAGCAGCTGTTATCGAATGCACATGGGCAGAATACCGGGTGTGATAATCTGGGGAATGATCAGCTGGCACACTCATTCACCATTTGTACTCTGACTGCTTGCAGGAATGTTGACAGCAATCTGCAGTCGATCATACTGCCTGTGCTAGCAGGCCATACATATTCTGTTTTCCAGCAGGACAATGCACGACCACATATAACACGACTTTCCCAACAAAGTCTTCAATGTGTTAATGTCACCTGACTGGCTTGCCAGGTCTCCAGACCTGTCACCTATCAAACATGTTTAAGACATGTTGAACAGCCGTATACAAATATGTTCCAACTCGCTGATCACTTACTCTATTTGTGGTGCACTCTACCGCACAGCAACCTTGGCAGCTTCAACAGATTCCATGCCCAAATGAGTATCAGTTGCATATATTAGTATAGTTGTATATCAGTTGAGTACTTATATATCTGCTGGGGAGGTTTAACTACCTACTGATTTTCACATTCTTTGTATTGCTACTCTTAAATAAAAAGCTTTCCTACCCCTGTTTTTAATCATTTGTTTATCTACTCGAACACTATACTGGTGCTGAGTTTCATAGTTATAGCTCAATTCTTTGTAGGTGCGTATATATATTTTTTTACAACACAGTGTGTATCAATTAGATATGTTATTGATAAACATGAATGAAAATTAAAGATCTTATCTCATATCATATGGTAATAATCTGAAAATAGTTACAATAAAATTACAATGAACTACAAATCCACAGATTAATAGTAACAATTGGAGATTATTCAGCAAATTTATACAGATCAAAACTAAAATTAAAACTGAAAGATACCAGTGATAAAAATGATAGTCAGTGATATAGGAACAATGCAGAAAATTTAGATAGATTATAAAAATAAAATTATAAACCAAAAAGACATTATTGACTTAAAGGTTAGACAACAAGTAGTGCGATACAATAGAGTAACTGTCAAGAAGTTCATTTATTGCTTTTGAATTACTCAATTAGTAGTTACAGACTGATTACATTAAAAAATAGAGACAAATATTAAAGGTCTTATGCTTTTCGAAATGAAGTACTTTATGAAATGGTTTTTGCAAAGCATGATAAATTAAATGATTTTATGCACTCACTGCACAATGCAATGGTTGACATTTCACATGGATGATATATTCATGGCACAGTAATGGAAAGTAACATAGCAGAATAGTCAAATATTCTAGTAAGATTTCTCTACAAATGATTCTAATGTTAAAAAATTAAACCAAGGGCGACTGCCACCCATACACATCCCTAATCATCAGTTTCTTATATTCACAGTCAACAGTAAGGGAAAGCAAAGCCAATTTCGATAAATTACAATTGTGCTTGATTACATACGTCAATGACTTTAGATCCATACACTTCCTTTAGGTATATACCTTTTTCTTCATGCTTCAAATCTCAGAGTTCCTGTAATTTTAGTCAATTCAAAGTCACGAAATTTGAGTGCCAGGTTTAATTGACTCCATTGAAATGTGCTACAATACACTTTGAATTATAGTACACTATAACCACTACATATCAAGACAGATTATTAAATCAAAGGACACCTTTGTTAATGAAAGCCAGCGGTCACAGGTAAACAAAACACTGGTCAATATAGAAAACTGCTGAAAATTTAGACAGATTATTAAAATAAAATTAAGCCAAAAATCATTGTTGGTTATCAAGATTTGACCTTTGATGACCACTGATGCAGAAAGGAATAATGTTCTGTGCAATGCCACAAGGTGCATGGATAATGAATAGAAGTGTAGTGTAATGTTAAAAAAAAAATTTAGAAAGACTCCAGAAATGATTTTTGCAATTTAAATAAAATACTTAAACATGAAGAGGACACTTACAAATTCTTGTTCTAAGAATATTCAAAAGGGTACCTTGTACATATATTCTAAACCCAAAAAATTTATGCTATAAAAAAGATATAATTATAGCAGAGCCCACATTTAGCATAAACAGGGCTGAATGACAATAATAAAACCAAAAAAATGTTACTGTTACGAATTTGATATTTAAAAAGCTAATGTTAGTTCAATTATAAATTAAATGGTTTTATTTCTCGCGCAGTGCAGCGCGTGACGAATATTAAAAGAAAGCTAAGCCGGGAAATTGAAAATACAAGAGCGCGTACATTAAATAAATAAATATCTCTTTTTCATTTCGAGAAAGTACTGGAAAATTCTAGCGCGTGATTTTAAAATCTTATAAAAGGAGGAAAACATCTCAGTTTGTAGTAGTTGTAGGAATTGTTTAGTTTGTTGTTGTTTAGAAAACTACTGTTGTTGACTGTAGCGAATTCGCGGATTAGCGTTCTTTAGCTGTTTTCAATTACGTTCTATTGGACATTTGAGTAGTTAAAAGATAACTACTGTGAGATATTGTAATACTGCATGATAATTTGAGAAAATTTAAGCATTTTTGTTGTGATAATAATAAATTTTTGTTCATTTTTCATCGGACTTGTGCATTCATTTCATAACGAACCTGTACACACGCAACAATTTTTGGTGTCAGGAGTGGGGTTTGAATGCCAATAACAAGAGTGATGGAAGAACAATTCAGGCAAATGATGACTGCATTTGCTGCTTTCCAAGAAAAGATGGAAGGAGCCGTCAAACTCCGTTAAGGAAGATATAAAAGCTGTACAAGAAAAGATGGAAGCTGGCCAAACATCTTTTAAAGAAGAAATTAAAGAGAAAATGGATGCTGGTCAAATATCCGTTAAGGAAGAAATGAAATTGGGCCAGGAATGTGTTAAGGAAGAGATGAAATCCCTTAAGACGAGAATGAAAGCAGGTCAGGACGAAATGAAAAGAGAAATTACCTGCGTAATAGAAAATAAATTTGAGGCTATGGAAGGCAGAATAGACGCGGTTGAAACTAAAGTTGGACAAATAGAAGAAAGAGTTTCTTCGGTAAAAGAAACAAGTAGAAGAAAGAATTTCTTCTGTAAAAGAACATATAGAAGAGAGAGTTTCTTCTGCCGTCAAACAACAAATTGATGATAGGGTTTCTGCTGCCGTCGCCAAAGAAGTTGACAGCCTAAAGAAGTGCATAGCGACGGTAGGAAACAATTCTGAAGGTTTTAAATTTTTATCGATGCCTGCTCGTTCCGTTCTGAAACTATCTACATATGATGGGAAGACCTCCTGGCAGGTGTATAGGACACAATTTTCTATCGTTGCGGATGCAAATGGATGGGATTCCCAAGCTAAGGCCTGTCATCTTGCCGCTTCTCTGAGAGCAGACGCAGCGGATATCCTGCAGACGCTCTTCCCGAAAATCAAAGGCTAGATTTCGAAGCTCTATCTGGCGCTTTGGAGCTGCGCTTCGGCGAGAAACGTTTAAAAGA